TTTAAGCAAGGGAGACACCCCACAATCAAGCATGGGCTTGGGCACACTGCAGGAGCCAAGACAAATGTAAGAAAAATCATAAATGGCTATGAGTGTGTCAAGTTTGAGAGGAAGGAAAGAGTTGGTATAGATCAGCATGCACAGACAGCGGCAGTGTCGCAGTCTAGAGCGGCAGTGCTGCAGTGAAGGGCGACTGTGCCGCTCCTCGCAAAAATGGAAAGGCTACCAATTCTGCTCCTGATCAAAATAAGCCCAAGAAGAAGGTGTCCCAGTAGAAACAGGTTCAGCAGAAGCCAAAGGAATCAGTGTGGGGCACTATGAACAAGTATGCCTACCAACCAAAGTTTCAACCACCTCGACAAAGCTTGACTTCGTATTTTGTTTTAAAGAACAACGACAGTGGAAAAGTGGTTGTTAAATATGTTGGAAAGAAAGCCAACACATATAGAAATACTTTTATTTGGGTTTCTAAATTTCTTGTGACTAACATGCAAGGCCCCGAGTCTAACTGGGGACCTAAATCAAGCAACTAAATCTATTTTGCAGGCATACTCCTCCGGTGGGTCAAGTTGGGTGCTTGATAGTGGATGTACAAATCATATGACCGGAGAAAGGGGTATGTTCTCATCATATACCCCGAAGATGGACTCAAATGAAAATATTCTCTTTGGAGACAACTCTAAGGGGGATGTGTTTGGTCTCGGTAAAGTTGCTATAACCCTTGAGCATTCAATTACAAATGTTTTACATGTTGATTTGTTAGGTTACATTTTGTTGTCCGTCTCTCAATTATACGAGATGGGCTTCAATTGTCTCTTTACAGATAAGGGTGTGGAAGTCTTTAGAATGAAGGATTCCTCTATTGTCTTTACGGGTTATTTAAAGAACAAGCTTTACCTAGTTGATTTCAACAAAAGTAAATCTAATCATCAGATTTGTTTAGTGGCAAAATCTAGCATGGGGTGGCTTTGGCATCGCCGACTAGCCCATATTGGGATGAGGAACTTGGCCAAACTTCAAAAGGACGAACACATCCTTGGGCTAACAAATGTTCACTTTGAGAAAGACAAGATATGTAGCACTTGTCAAGCCAGAAAGCAAGTTGGCGTACCTCACCCACCAAAGAGCATTATGACCACGACGCAACCATTGGTGCTCATACACATGGATTTCTTTGGACCGGTCGCCTACCTAAGTATCGGGGATAACAAATATGGTCTTGTTATTGTTGATGATTATTCTTGTTTCACTTGGGTATTTTTCTTGTTTGATAAGTGTCAAGTTAGAGACAAAGCGAAGACTTTTGTTAGAAGAGCTCAAAAGGAGTTCGGTCTCCCCATCAAGAAAATTAGAAGTGACAATAGGACCAAATTCAAGAACACTCAAGTTGAGGAGTTTCTTGATGAAGAAGGCATCAAGCATGAGTTCTCAACTCCATACACCCCTAAAAAAATGGTGTAGTAGAGAGGAAGAATCGTACACTAATTGACATGGCAAGGACAATGCTAGATGAGTACAAGACGCCGGACCTCTTTTGGTGCGAAGCCGTCAACACCGCTTACCATGCCATCAACCGCCTCTACCTACACAAGAAGTTGAAGAAAACTTCATATGAGCTTCTAACCGGTAACAAACCAAAGGTGTCCTACTTTAGAGTGTTTGGGTGCAAGTATTTCATACTTAATAAGAAACCCAAAACCTCTAAGTTTAAACCTAAAGTTGATGACGGTTTTCTTCTTGGTTATGGATCAAATGAGCATACCTATCGTGTTTTCACAAAACCTCTGGGAGAGTTGAAATAGTGGAAGACGTGACATTTGATGAATCTAATTGCTCTCAAGTGGAGCAAGTTGATTCAAATATTGTAGAAAAGGAGGATCCACCATGTGAAGCAATCAAGCAATTGGCTATTGGTGATATAAGACCACATGAAGACGAAGTCACTGAAGTGGAGGTTCCTCAAGCTGTTGATGAACAAAGTTCTGCTGACGTACCTGATGCTGAGGGGGAGCAGACCCCTGCTGCAAATCAACAGAGTGGCAGTGCCGCACATAAGAGCGGCAGTGTCGCACTCCCTCTGACAGCAGCAGCAAGTCCAACTCTGATTCAAGGACATAACCTACAATCCATATTCGAGCAAGAAGATAATGAAGATCTAGAAGATGGACAAGAGGCCATTGATCATCTAAGGCTAAGACAAATAATACAACGAGATCATTCCGTTGACAACATCCTTGGAAGTCTTCGAAAGGGGGTAACAACTCGTTCACATCTAGCAAACTTTTGCCAATATTACTCATTTGTTTTCTCTTTGAAACCACTTAAGGTTGAGCAAGCACTTGGTGATCCGGATTGGGTGATGGCCATGTAAGATGAGCTCAATAATTTTGAAAGAAATCAAGTGTGGACCTTGGTGGAGAGACCCAACACCAATATCATTGACACCAAGTGGGTCTTCCGCAACAAGCAAGATGAGAATGGCGTGGTGACAAAAAATAAGGTAAGATTGGTTGCTTAAGGTTTCACTCAAGTAGAGAGCTTGGACTTTGAGGAAACATATGCACCGGTGGCAAGACTCGAAGCAATCCGAATGCTTCTAGCCTATGCCGCTCATCATAATTTCAAGCTATATCAAATGGACGTGAAGAGTGCATTTCTCAATGGCCCCATTCAAGAACTTGTCTATGTTGAACAACCACCGGGTTTTGAAGATCCCAAGTTCTCCAACCACGTCTACAAACTCCAAAAGACGCTCTATGGACTTAAGTAAGCACCAAGAGCATGGTATGAATGCCTTAAAGAATTCTTGCTTAAACAAGACTTTGAAATAGGCAAAGCCGACCCTACCCTTTTCACTCACAAAGTTGGTAAAGATATATTTGTGTGCCAAATATATGTCGATGACATAATATTTAATAGTACTAATCATACTTTTTGTGAGGAATTTAGTAGGATCATGACGAAGAGATTTGAGATGTCCATGATGGGTGAGTTGAAGTTCTTCCTTGGATTTCAAATCAAGCAAGTGAAGAATGAAACTTTTATTAGTCAAACAAAGTACACCCATGATATGCTCAAGAAGTTTGACATGGTGAATGCCAAGCCTATCAAAACTCCCATGTCAACCAATGGACATCTTGATCTCAACATTGAAGGGAAAGTCGTGGATACAAAGGTATATCATTCCATGATCGGCTCTCTACTTTATTTGTGCGCATCTAGGCCCGATATTATGCTTAGTGTGTGCATGTGTGCTAGATTTCAAGCTAACCCGAAAAAGTGTCAATTGGTGGCTGTTAAGATAATCTTGAGATATTTAGTACACACTCCTAACCTTGGTTTGTGGTATCCTAAGGGCTCTAAGTTTGATCTACTTAGATATTCGGATTCGGATTACGCCGGTTGCAAAGTAGATCAAAAAAGTACTTCGAGGACATGCCAATTTCTTGGATGATCCCTAGTGTCTTGTAGTTCTAAAAAGCAAAATTATGTAGCCCTTTCCCACTGCCGAGGCCGAGTATGTTGCAACCAGTGCATGTTGTGTCCAACTACTTTGGATGGGGCAAACTCTTCGTGATTTCGGATGTCATTTTATCAAAATCTCATTATTATGTGACAATGAGAGTGCCATTAAGCTTGCAAACAATCCCGTAAGCCACTTTAGAACCAAGCACATAGACATCCGTCATCATTTCTTGAGAGACCACGAAACCAAAGGAGATATCAAAATTCGTAATGTGAGCACCGAAAAGCAACTAGCCGATATCTTCACAAAGCCCCTTGATGAGTCAAGGTTTTGTGCTTTGCATAGTGAGCTAAATATACTTGATTCTCGTAACATGGTTTAAATTTTAGCATGCCTCTATTTGATAAACTAGTATCTAGGCAAAAGAGTTGAAAATTTTCATATTGTGCATGAAAATGATTTATAAAAGGCAACTTATGTATCATGATCATAGTCTGTATTGATTATTTGTTTCTGATCATGGTATATAGGTGATATGGGTCCATATCTTATATAGAGAGAGTCATATAGATTATAGCTAACTCCCACTGTTTTGGGAAGTGCGGCAGTGCCGCGCCTGCCGTGTGGCAGTGCCACTCTGCGGTAGTGCCGTGCTAGGCATGCGGCAGTGTCGCACTTTGAATCTCAATTGAGATTTGGCCCAAACAGTTTTACTGCGGGGCCCATTTATTCTTCCTCTTATCCTTAGGTCCGTAGTAACTTCTTTCCCTCTCTCTCTCTCTTCCCCCCGCTGCCGACGCCTGCGCCTCTCTCCTCTCGCGCCCGCGCCATAGCCGTAGCTTGGCCGCGCGTTGTAGGTGTCTGGCAGTGCCGCGGCAACTGCCAGCCCTCCCTCAACGTCGCTGATGGCTGCTACTGCCCCTGGCCCGAGTTGTTTCTTCCCTCCTCTCCCATACTCATGAAAAGGTAGAACCCTAAACCTACTCGATCTATGCAATGTGAGTGTTTCTGTGATGGATTCAGGTTCTTAGTGGTACTATGAACGAGTAGGAGGTCGATTCATTTGGGGGCGGTGCACAGCACGTGCGATAGTGCCGCGGTAAGGTGGTTTATCCGGTTTTTGAGTTTACGGAGGAAAAACAGACTTTCGTAAAAATTGAGAAGGTATTGTAGACTTTTTCGAATAGAAAATGTCTACTGGACCAGACAGATACGCTGCGGCCCACCCAAGGGTCACTCGCGTGGCGCGGCAACACCTCGAAGGGCTAGCGGCCCACAAGGCCCGAGCCCACCAACCCTAGGGTTCTCTCGGTGCCATAAGAGCTTCCCTTCTCCTCTCGCGCCCCGCCGCCCGCCGCCGCTGCTTAGCGCCTCTCCCGCCCGCACCGCCGCATCGCTGCAAGGGTCGCAAAGGTACCGCCACCATCTACGCCGGGGCGCGACGTTCTCGAATTTCTTGCTCTCGCACTACCGAATTTGTGGCTTGGTGCGTCCATCTGGTGTTTAATTGCTTGCGTGACCTTTGCTGTTTCAGATGGCGGTGCCGCTGCTGACGCAGAAGATCGTGAAGAAGCGGGTCAAGCAGTTCAAGAGGCCCCATATCGACCGCTACAAGTGCCTCAAGGTAGGAAAAGCATCTTCCGTCGCCTTGAACCTTGTTGCTCGAAGCCCTTGTTCTGCGTGCTTGCTATTCGTTGATCCATTGGTCGACTGCTACATAACTTTTACTTTAGGTTCACCGGAAGAATGTCACATGTGCACTAAATTGAATGCCCTGGCCCGATTTTAGTTTGCGCTGGCAGCACGTTGGCATGTGTTCGATTTAGATAGAATCTTGCCCCAGTGGCCTGAAATGTAAGCTTAGTTTATCGAGTACTGGATTAGCTTAAAAACTTTCCTCATTTTAGGATGCCTGCTTAGCAATTGTTAATTAAAAGAGACCAAGTCCCTTCTGTTTGTGGAAGTTGTTAGTTTACACTGATGTAGTGCCACTAATTCTGTAGCTGGGGATAACTTAAACAATACTGTACAAGTGTGGCAAATACCTATGGCTTCTGACCATGTTTGCTACTGGGTGAATTCTAAATGTGCCATACACAATACAGGCGGAGCTATATTGCTCGTTTGCCACACCCAAGCAAAATTAAAAAGACAGTGGAAAGAGCTAAATTTTCACCATATTCCACATGTCATAGATCTTTGCACCCACAAGATAAGACGCAACCCCTACGGATTTGCTCTAGCTCTGCCTCTGACAATACTGTACCAGTTTAGCAAATGGCCATTACTTCTGGCCATGTTGGTAACTGGGTGAAATTGAAATGTGCCATACCATACCTAAACCTTCCAAGAGTTTTCTTTTGCCTTTTATTTTCTGGGGAGGGCTATGAATTGAGTCTCGGATATGACTTCTAGCACCAGGCATAAATAGATATCCTATAAAAAGATGGTCACAGCTTTCTAATTCATTGGCACTGTATATTTGAGTCATCTGCATAAACATTTCTGTTGGTTGAAGCTAATTTTGCCGATAATTTTTTTCTGTAGCCAAGCTGGCGCAGGCCCAAGGGTATCGACTCCCGCGTCAGGCGGAAGTTCAAGGGATGCACCTTGATGCCCAACATTGGATATGGCTCTGACAAGAAGACCAGGCACTACCTTCCCAACAAGTTCAGGAAGTTCGTTGTTCACAATGTCTCTGAGCTGGAGCTGCTGATGATGTACAACAGGTGATTTTTTCTGTTTCACCTTTTGATTTTGCCACACATGCAATGAATTTATTACATAGTCATACCAGAAAGCTTGTATACAATGTAGCTTACTCCCTCCGGTTTCCTAAAGGATGTCGTTTTGGACAATGACACGGTCTCCAAAAAACAACTTTGACCATTACTTTTTGCTGTAAAATATTTATAAAATATAGTCAATATATACTTTTATGAAACTACATTTCAAGATGAATCTACTTACATAACTTTCATATTTTCGAACTCAACCCAAAAGAATTTATTTGTAGTTAAGAAAATGTTTGACTTAAGACAACCTCAAAACGACATCCTTTAGGAAACCGGATGGAGTACACCTGAACCGAACAAGACAGCTCCTAGACAGTAGGACAACGAGTTTAGCAGAAATTGAGATTGCCATTTCAGTTAGCCTAAAATATGCCTCAGATTCTGTGACCGTTACTTCTTAAATGAGCCTGTTCGCTTGCTCGTAAACGATCGTAAATTTCCAGCCGGAACAGTGTTTTTCTCTCACACCAAACCAGCCAGCAGTAAATAATCCACGATACGATACGGCCTCCCGAACAGGCTATGTATTTCGATCTTCCATAAGCCCTCCTTTCTTACATCCTATTTTCTGCAAAGCAGGACTTACTGCGCTGAGATTGCCCACAACGTGTCCACCCGCAAGCGCAAGGAGATTGTTGAGCGTGCTGCGCAACTGGATATCGTGGTCACCAACAAGCTTGCCAGGCTCCGCAGCCAGGAGGACGAGTGAAATGTACAGTAGTTTTGGTTGTGATTTGCTGGTGTTCAAGATGTTACTGGAGATACTACTTCTCTTCCGTTTTTATGCAGCCTGTTCGGCTGGGCCGGCTTGTTCGTCGCTGGTTCGTGAGAAAGTACCGCTGGCTGGTTTATGTGAAAGAAAAATACTCTTCTGGCTGGAAGACACTGTTCATGTGAACAGTGCCCGCGTGAGGGGCCTGGCCAGCACCGGCCAGCCAGCCATCCCAGCCGAACGGGCTGATGCTTATGTTAGACTTTTCCCATGGACAATTCTGCTATCAGGGAAGTGTGATGGCGAGTACCATCTAGTTTTGACCGGACATCATATAGTGTGCAGTCTTAAGTAATGATAATGAATCCGCGACTCTGAAGCTACATGCATTTTCTGAGGTTCTGAGCTGTTGCCCTATTCGAATGAAGACAGCCTTTTTCCCCCATTTTGACGAGCCTAACGACGCAGCCTATCTAAGGCCTAGAGCAGTGATGGCGAGGCTCGTTTCCATGTACACATAACACGGGCCGTGCGACGCGCGGGCCGCGGGGTTCGCCTTTGCATTACGCCACGGTGTGTCAGCCGCTGTATCGTAGGCGGTGAGCTCGTCGGTCGACGACGAGCAATCGAGCATTGAAGTAGGCTGGCGACATTAGTGGCCAGTGGACACGGAGAGTGCCCCATCCGACGACAGCCACAGGGCCGGCGCGGGACCATGCAAGGAGGAGACGTTAGTTTCAGACGAAGGGATAATTCCTTCTAACTGGATAAGCCCCAGTAGGCGGCGCCGGCGCCGTACCCGGACCGATCGCCGCGGTCAATCCCTCCCCCTGTCCTGAATCACCTCCGTTGCGGGCGCGCCGAGGAGACCTTCAGCCTGAGAGCCTCTGCGGAGGAGTAACTGTCACGGAGACCCCGCGATCGGCTGGACGGAGACGGCCAGCCAATCCGGCCAAGCCCGTCTCCAGCAATCATTCGATTCGTCATCATTGCACGTTATCCTCTCGCTCTCGGCGGTGGAGCGCGAGCGCTAGCTAGCTGCTGTCTGCTCCGCGCGCAGTGCGCGCGCGCACACACAATCGGTCGGATCAGAGCAGAAGCACGTATGCGTACGTCTCCTATGCTGCTGGGTGCTGCTGGCCGGCCCAGCGGCTGCCCTCTCGTTCATTCAATTCATTCATTCTGATCCGCCGGGCAGGAGCAAGACCATACTTACGATGCAACAAAACTACACTGTGATCTCCATCACGCATTCATTCGTGTCTGTCCCGGGCCGGGGGCCATCATGAGCGGAGCGGAGCCGGTGATCGATCGGATCGGGACGAGGGCCACCCGCTGGTCCGGTTCGTGCATGGCCGCAGATCGCGCACTGCACAGGCGTGCAGTAATCCTGATCCATTTGCTTATCATCTCAGGCAACCCGCCCTGCGTGCTACAGTCCGATCCCCTCCCTACGGCGTAGGGATATGTACGACGACGGGATCGATCATGCGCCGTTGCCGTCCGGACCCGATCGTCCTCGTCGCTGTCGCTCCAACTCATCCGCAGCCGGGCAAAGAGAGGGATAAACAAACGACACCGACGCTGACGCGCTGCAGCACCCGCCGGTGCGACGAACGAGAGGGCGACGGCGGGCGGGGTGCATGGAAACCCGACCGACTCGGATCGCACGACTCGCACCCGCACCGTTTGCCCGGCGCCCGTCCGCCGCCGCGACCTGTGGACGCACCTTGCCCTCGCGGTCGTACGTCTCGGAGCAGAGCAGAGCAAGGCGCCAAAGCCTTGGGCATCATGACCGGATCGGCGGGTTTGTCATCCGACGGCGACGCCCATGGCGGCCTGCCTTTCACCCCCCACCGCCAATCGAGGCTGCGATCGTGGGCGAGGAGGGCTGAGCACGATTTCCGGCGGATGGACGGGGGACCAAACGAACAGTTCTGCTCGCAGTCGCAGCAAGCCCTACTACAGCTGGACACGTCGACGTCACCGAATAGGGGCTGGGCTGGCTCTGGTTTATTGTGCGAGTAGGTTTGCTAGTGAGCGTGGGGAACACAGGGTAGCACATCAATCAGCTTGGCAAACGACAACTCCAACAGTGAATAGCTTGCGCTAATTATGTCATCCCACGATGCCCTCGTTGTGCTTCAAATCGTAGTTCATTTTAATTCTGTCTTATTAAATCACATTTTTCTAATTTGGGCTAAATTTATGGAAAAATGAATCGACATCTGCTATTTAAATTAGTTTTGTTAATTTTTTTCATATACATGTGTCTTGATAGTGCATTTTTGTTGAAAATTGTACTACCACCGTTCCGTCAAAGAGTGTTACCAAACAAATATCATTAGATTTATCATGAAACATAATTCATAGTAAATTTATTTGGTGTCATAAATGTTTGGTGAAACATAAGGTATTTTGACTTAGGCCAAAACCAAGACATCACTCTTTGCGAGACAGAGACAGTAGATGCTATAATACTTTCTAAAAAAACCTGGTCAAACTTTGAGAAGTTTAACTTAGGCAAAGCTAGATTGAACCATACTGTACTAATTTTGACAGTAGGGAGTATATATGATTATCTTTGGGACAGAGATAATATCGAGTAAAAGCGACAAGAAGTTCACTCCAATAATAGTATAATAGAATATATATATATATATATATATATATATATATATATATATATATATATATATATATATATATATATATATATATATTATTGGACCAATTCGGTGAGTTTTATCTCAGGAACAAAACAGGTCGAATTAACTACAGGATTTCAGTAAACTATGCTTATGCAAGTTTGTCCCCTGAGGAAATGCAAAAGCAAATATCAATTTTCTCTATTGACACGTTTTTTTAAAAAGAATTTAATTTGCAGGGTGGCCAAGTCTGTATCACATTCAAGGGTCGAGGGGAGCCACTAAATAATGTAGAACCATATATTGGACTGATTATGTGACAACGACAACTCAACAGTATATATAATTAATTTTTTTTATAAATTTTAGAATATACCATTGGGGCAATTATGTATTTGGCACTGGAATAAATCAGTCTTCTTTATTTAGCACTAAAAATTTTGAACTTTCTTATTTGGCATCGAGTGAAAATTTTCTTCTGTAAATGGCACTACCATCTATTTAGTGCATCCATCCGTCAATTAATTGCGTTGACCCTATCATGTTTCTTTCGAAAGTACAAAAAATGCCCCTCTATACTCGAGCGTGGCCGGCGGCTCGTCTCCTGCCCAGGAGCTCGCGGAGGCGCAGCAGCCTCTCGCGCCGAACTCGGCAGATCGAGGCGCGGGGGATGCGCTGGGAGTTCCTTGCTCGCCAGTGGCCCAGCCAAAGCGCTGGGGCGCGGGGGCGGTCGCCCGCGCCACCGACGCTAGTGCCAGGCCGCGACGCGGGGGACGCGACGGGGCGAGCTCCGCGATGGCCGTTCATGCGCAGCGTGCGTCTCGGAGAAGGAGGAGGACGTCGTCGAGCAGCTTCTCTGTCCATAGATGACGCGATGGCACTGGAGCTCGACGCGACGCCGGTCATGTGGCTCCGGGCGTGGGAGGAGCGGCGGCTGTGCTGCGCAAAACGCGGCCTCTCTAGCGCGCAGCAGCAGCACGCGGGTGAGCGGAGCTCGCGGCCTGGGCGGCGTGCTGCTGCGGCTCGCCCGCATGACTGTGCTGCATGACGTCGGAGCTCCCAGACCGACGTGCTGCTGCTTGCCCGCATGGCCATGTGGCCGCCGCCGCGGCGGCTCGCCAGCTGGCCCGCTCCACGCCGTCCGCGTGCTCCATGCGCCGCCCAGTTCACCCGCTTCGCGCCGGCCGCGTCCTCGACGCGCCGCCCAGGCCGCGAGCTCCGTGCGCTGCCAATGGCGAGCAACAACAACAGCACGTCGGGCGACCTCCGCGACGGCCGTCGATGGCAAGCAGCAGCAGCAGCAGCAGCACGTCGGGCGAGGTCCTTTATACAAACGTGAAAGAACTCCACTTCAATAGTTCATATAATACAGTATACTATATTGGGCTAATCCAGTGAATTTTGAAGAAGAAAACTCGTCGAATAACCCGCAAACTCTCCGTAGTGTTTGACCCGCGCATTGCTGGGTGTGAACCTTCACTTTTTTCTTTTGAGAACACGACTTCACATGTATTTCATTAAGGAAGGTGTGAACCTGAACACCCAATTTAACATTCGATCAATACGTCGCAGATAAAATATTCAAACGATCTAATATAGCTGCAACATTGTACATATGGATTCTTAGTAGTTAGTGCTGTCATTGAAGACTATCAAAATAAATAGCCGACATGCGACATTAGATTTATACAGACTGCCATCTAATAAACCTCTTTTTTCTTCCTTTGAAGAAGAGAATTGACCGAATAAACAACGAGCTCTCATCAAGTTATGATTATGCAAGGTTAGTTGTTGTCCAAAGGAGATGCTTTTGGAAGTTTCAGTTTACTTTTTTATGCTGCAAGTTGTTTTTTTTTCATTTGATTTGCTGGTAGTAGTTGTGTCCAAGTACGTGGCACGTCGAAGCATCAAGGCAAGTCATTCTTGCAAGAAAGGGCATCGCTATTTTTTCCAAGTCTTCGAGGCACTGTTGGCCAGTACTAGCGCACTCACGTACACGACCTTCTCATGAGCTGTGCGCCTTTCAGCCGTCACTTTTCCACAGCCAGTCCACTCTCCGAGAGAGGACGGACGGAGGCTAGCTGCAAATGTGTGTGTACCGGTACCATCAAATGGCTATCGCCAGGGAGCAAAAGGATCGGGGCCGAGTACGACGACACGGAACCTACTTACAGGAACCAACGCTGAATACGCCGTGTTTTTTAAGATACACGTACAAATCATGCACGGGAAATGAGAATAGGGGAGACAGCACAGGGCCCGTTCGTATAGAGGAATTCTGAAGGAATTTAGATGGTTTAGAGGAATGCTGGAAGAATTTGTGAGAGGAAAATACGGTTTCGGACGAAA